CACCGTCTCACTCTCTTTCTCTCTCTCACCGTCTCACTCACTTTCTCTCACTCTCTCACTCACTCACCGTCTCTCTCTCTCTCTCTCTCCCTCACCGTCTCTCTCACTGTCTCTCTCTCTCTCACTCTCTCTGTCCCTCACCGTCTCTCTCTCCTTCTCCCTCACCGTCTCACCTCTTCTCTCTCTCTCTCTCTCTGTCCCTCACCGTCTCTCTCTCTCTCTCTCTGTCCCTCACCGTCTCTCTCACTCTCTCTCTGTCCCTCACCGACTCTCTCTCTCTCTGTCCCTGACCGTCTCTCTCTCTCTCTCTCTCCCTCACCGTCTCACTCTCTCTCTGTGTGTGTCCCTCACCGTCACTGTCTCTCCTTCTCCTCTCTCTCACCTCCTCACTGTCTCTCTCTCTTTTTATCTCTCTCCCGCCCTCATGTCTCTCTCTCCTTCTCTTCTCTCTCTCTCCTCCCTCACGGTTCTCTCTCCTTCGCTCTCTCTCTCCCCGTCTCTCTCTCCTTATCTCTCTCTCTCTCTCTGTCCCTCACCGTCTCTCTCTCCTTCTCTCTCTCTCTCTCTCTCTCTGTCCCTTACCGTCTCTCTCTCTTCTCTCTCTCTCTGTCCCTCACCGTCTCTCTCTCCTCTCTCTCTCTGTCCCTCACCGTCTCTCTCTCCTCTCTCTCTCTCTCTCTGTCCCTCACCGTCTCTCTCTCCTCTCTCTCTGTCCCTCACCGACTCTCTCTCTCTGTCCCACACCGTCTATCTCTTTCTTCTCTCTGTCCCTCACCGTCTTCTCTCCTTCTCTCTCACTCTCTCTGTCCCTCACGGTATCTCTCTCTCTCTCTCTCCGTATCCGGAGCCGCCGCTGACGGCCGCCGCGTGCGAAGACGCAATGACGCAGGGCCGGGAGTCCCGCCCGCGCGGTGACGTCGGCATGTACGGCGCCGTACGGCACCGCTCTCCGCTGGGGGCCGCCATGTTGTACGGCGCGGCTTCTGCATAACAACAACAGCAACAATAATAATAATAATCCTCGCATTTGATATAGCGCTTTTCACGTCGGGAGGACGTCACAAAGCGCTTCACCAAACACACTGTAGAATGAATTGATTGTATATTTGTGGGCGAACGCGGCAGCCAATTGCGCACAGCAATGTCCCACAAACATTCGTGTGTTGGAAATGACCAATTCATTTTGTTTGGGTTTTTTTTTTGGAGGGATTATTATTAGGCTCTGTGTGGAGTAAGGAAACTTGCCCAAGGTTTGGCCCTGACCTGCCTGGATTGAACTCCGGTCTCTCACTTGCAAAGCGAGTGCTCTAACCACTGAGCTACAGGACTCCACAAGTTCTGGTTGGGGGGAGGGGGGCAGTGAACCCTACCCTCTGGAGACCTTTAATGCGCCTTTACACTTGAGCAAATTGCGTCTTTTCAACAACCGCCACCTCCACGCAGTAGCGTCTCAGAGCGCTTCAGCGTGGTGGAGTTTGACCGCCCGGGGAGGGTGGGAGGTGACACGGTCGGAAGGGAAGATTTTCAGGCGGGACTTGAAAAGGGGGAAAGGGGTCAATGCGGGAAGATTGCGGGAGAGAGTTCAGGATTTTCGTGGGTCAGTGGCTGAATGGGCGACCGCCAGTGATGGAGCGGATGGCGGGGGGGGGACAAGCTGGAGGCCGGTGCCAGACGAGCGGAGGCGCCGAGTGGTGGATTGGGGAGTGAGGAGATCAGGGGGCGGAGTGGTCGGAGAGGGGGACATTAACTGCACATTAAAGAGAGGGACTTTTAATGCGCAGTTTCAATAGGTGCAAATCGTATCTATCCAACTGCACAGTAAACAAAGGGCATTTAATGTGCGGTTTAATTTGATGTAAATTGTAGGTATTGAACGCCACATTAAACAAAGGCCCCAGGAGTTGGCCGGCAGTAACCTGACCCTCTCCTCCTGGGCTGGACAGCTTCGCTCATACCTGAGAGGGAATTGAAATATCTCGTGACATGAATGGAAAAGACAAGTGAGTTTCTCTCTCGCGGGTCCTGACTGACAGTCCTCCACATTAATCCCCTCGGCGGAGGGGAGGGGGAAATCTATCTGTGGTGGTGGGGTGTGGGGAGGGAAATTAAGCAGCTCAGAGCCTGTAATGGGCGTCTTCAATAGGTGCAAATGGTATCTGATACATTTAGTGCTGAGATGTGTTGCCCACCTGGAAACCGCAGGGAATTCCTTGTACCTACTGCCTACATAGTGAGGCTCAATCCCGCGCTTGTCGGATGCAGAACGTCCATCTGGTGACTGTGCTCCTCGGGGAGGCAATCGGGGTGTAAAAATAAACACTGGTTTACAAAATGCAACTTGTGTTTAAGGATATCAGACATTCGGTCCGCAGTTACAGGAGAATATCCTTCAGATTTTGGGGTCCTGTGGCTCAGTGGTTAGAGCACAAGCTTTGCGAGCGAGACACCTGGGATCAATTCCAGGCAGAGCAAACCCTCGGGCAAGTTTCCCTACTCCACACGTCTAATAATAATCCCTCCAGAACAAAAGAATAATAAATTGGTCATTTTCAATCCACGACTGTCTGTGGGACACTGCTGTGCGCAATTGGCTGCCGCGTTTCGCCCACAGATATACGGTGAATATATTTTCAGATCCCACAGACTTAAAAAGCGCTGAATCAAATACAATGATAATTATTGTTATTATCACCCAGACTGCTGATGATTCAGATATTTTATTCCATTTCTCTGCCTTTCTCTCCTCTCCCCCTCCCTTTCGCAGTATCCAATTCTCACCCTATTGAAATACCCAGAAGTGGACAAAAGCTGTGAATTTGGCTCAATCACATGAAGACGACATTGGCTTTGAAAACTGCCAGAAAACCAACTGCTATACTATCAGCCAATTACCTTTAAACGTGAAGGGAATACGGCTGTATTATTGGCTTCACACAAAGAAACTAATCAGATATAAATATGAGCTGCCAACACAAGGCAGGGGAGAATGTCTGAGAAAACCGAAGGGAGCGACATGGAGTGTGGATCGACCTCTGGGAAAGGTAAGTAATCGCCTCTCAATTTCTCGGTACCTTCGTCACTACTTTATTTGCTGAAGATATTGTTGAAACAACACGTTTACTTTGATGCATTGGCTATTGACTTGTGAAATGAAGTTGGATTTTTACTGCACTGTTGAATTTAATGTATTAATAATATATAGTGATATTTCATTATAATCCTCCAATTTGCTAATGCGCCTCATCACAGCAATTAGATATCTCAAAACGCTGCACAGAATATATTGTAAAATGCATTTGGTGTTTTGTGGGTGAAACGCCTAAGATGCAGAGTGCAGTTAGTTTTTTTTCATTAGAAACGTCTTTCTCAGGGATTTCGGTTTTATTTAATGACATTTCTGAAAACATGATTTGTACTCATTTACGTGTAAGTAGTCTGTGAGGAAGGTCTGAATGATGCCTTTCCTTTTGATTGTGCTCTGAGACGCTATCCTGCACGGAGGGCGCTATATAAGTGCAAGTTGTAGTGTTCGGTTTGAATCCAGGTGGATTAGTACAGAGGATACATCAATCACTACCACTACCACATATCGCTTGTCAATAGTTAAGTGACATCAATACACCAGAGAAGAAATTCAGTCTCAATCTTGGCAGAGGGGACGGAAACTTTTCATTTTTCTAGTCTCGGTTGGATCGATGCCAAACACCTTGAAGCTTTGATTTCTACATGCTGAATTACAGAGTTAATAAAATATAAATATGTAATTATAGTCTTTATTAGCACATTGAACGTGCTCTGGCAATGATTATATCTTAACATTGTCTTTGACTTTTGAAAACATCTTATGTTTTGAAAACTAATTCAACCAGTAACGTACTTTCTGTAATTTTTTCTGAATATTTCATAATTAGTGCCTAAAAATCCACTGTTTAAAATGTCTCAAACAGCAAACACAAGTGAGTTAAGATTTTTTTTACGTGTGTGGTAAACAGATAATCCCTCCAATATAAAATAATAATAAATTGGTCATTTTAAACCCACGACTGTTTGTGAGACAGACACTGCTGTGATCAATTGGCTGCCGCGTTTCGCCCACAAATATACAGACAATTCACTTTACAGTCGATTCTGAGAAGCACTTTGAGATGTCAAGAAGACGTGAAAAACCACTATATCAAATACAATGATTATGATTATTTTATTATAAGCGCGTTCCTACTTATAATTTAGGTAATCGGAGGCCTGTGGTATAAATAATAATATTAATATTAATTCTTACATTTGATATAGCGCTTCTCACGTCGGGAGGACGTCCCAAAGCGCTTCATAGAACACACTGAAAAGTGAATTGACTGTATATTTGTGGGCGAACGCGGCAGCCAATTGCGCACTGCAATGTCCCACAAGCAGTCGTAGATTGAAAATAACCAATTTATGATTGTTTCTGGTTTTTGGAGGGATTATTATGAGGCTCTTTGTGGAGTAAGGAAACGTGCCCAAGGTGCCTTGGGACGTCCTCCTCAGTTGAAAACCGCTTTGCAAATGTAATGTTCGTGTGCTTCTGTTTTAAATAACATTTCTCTACAGCAGATCAAATCGCAAATGGGTTCAGCTCCAAACGCAACCGAGTGAGCGGAGGAGAGTACGGGAGCAGCAGATACGATTTGAGAAAGAGGGATAGAAGGGATTACACTGAGGAAAGGGATCTTCCAGACGATGATTACCTGTGTGAGTGAAAAATCAATCTGAGTTTCTCAGCATCAAATGCTCGAGTGCAGAATCGGGCAGATGGCAGCCGGGCTCAGTTGGTGTGCTCTTTGCTCCGAGTCAGAAGTTTGTGGGTTTGAGCCCCACATCGCGGGCAACGAGTTGACAGTCTGGGCTGACACTGCAGTACAGAGCTGGAGTGGGGGTGGGGGGTGGGTAGCGACGCACTGTCAGATGTGCCGTCTCTCCCCGGTGACCTGGTTTTAATGGAGCTCAGTTGACAGGGCTGGGGAATGGCGACTCAGGTCAGGAACGGCAACCAAGCGCTGTCAGCAGAGATGGTCAGCTTTTCCACTGCTGTGGGGGATGGGAAGGGCGATGGGGACTGAGGAGAGAGCAGTGCAGGTGGTCAATATGGGGTTGGGAACACGGCTCTTAATTGGAAAGACAATGAAGTCCAGATTAAAGAGGTTTTGAGGAAGCGGTAGGGATACAGATGGGAAGGAGAGCCGTGAGAAGGGATAGGAAGGCGATTGAGGAAAATGCTCATTGAAGATTTAGTCTGTGCGTTTGAAATATGAGGCCGCGAAGTGACATCACGCAGTGGATTTTGACCATTGGTTGGTTCAGGCGGGAAACGTCAAAATGGCATCCTCCGTAGAGCCCCGCACCCTAATCCTGCCCACCAACCCGCGATGCACTGTCATACAACCCGAGCTTTTAAGCTAAAGTCACTCTGCGCCTCTCCAGACACATAGTAAAGATCCTTTAATGGTGTGGTGGAACACAGAGAAACTCGCTTCTCTTTTGGAAACATGTCATGGGATCTTTACTGTCCACCTGAACAGACATGGCCGGGAGCTCATTATAACATTTCATCTGAAGCACAGCACCTCCTACAATGGAAAGCATTTCCCGCATTAATATAAGTATCTCCCTGTGTCCCAGACCGTGGTCAACTACACTAATCACGGAGACGCCTCACGGCTGTTTGTGGGTAGTTGTTGCCATCATAAACTGACACTGTCAATAAGTGACCAGCATGAAGGGCGGTATATAAATGTAAGCTGCTACTGACCGTACAGTTGGCAGTAAATAATGTAAATCATTGACATCACCAGGTGCTGTACAAATGCAAGGATTCAATCGAAATTTGCTCCTGAGCAATTCGTACAGAAAGCCCATATATTGCTTATCCAGATCTTTCTTTTCTCCCATCAGCAGCCAAAGTAGGTGATTCTGAGTCTCATCCCTGGCCTCATGCCAACGTTGTGTTGAGTTGTGCCGAGTTCCTCCAGGAACACAACAGAAGACATCCCGAGTTCCATAAAGACACATCAACAACGCAGACTGCTTGTACGCAAATGATGCTTTGCAGCAGAGAGAGTGTCAGGAATCTATCGTATTTCATGTTGAAGAAAACCGAGTCTCGCAAACAGGATCTCTACAGGGTCACAAGCAATCGATCTCAGGAGATAGACTGTATAAATGTTCCCGATGTGGTGAGAATTTCATACATTCAGGGCACCTCAAGATACACCAGCAATCACTCCGAGAAAAGCGTCTGTATAAATGTGTGGAATGTGGGAAGAGCTTCACAGGATCGGGCAGTCTGCAGATACACCATCGATCTCACACAGGAGAGAGGCCATATAAATGTGCAGAATGTGGAAAGAGTTTTGCAACGTTAGCTTATCTCCAGATACACTATCGGTATCACACAGGAGAGAGGCCATATGAATGTGTTCAGTGTGGAAAGAGTTTTACACAATCAGGAGAACTCCAGAGACACCAGCAATCACACACAGGAGAGAAACCGTATAAATGTGCTGAATGTGGAAAGCGTTTCACAACGACGTTTTATCTCCAGGTTCACCATCGATCACACACAGGAGAGAAACCATATAAATGTGCAGAATGTGGAAAGAGTTTCAGAGCAACGGATCGTCAAATACACCATCGATCACACACTGGAGAGAGACCGTATAAATGTGCTGAGTGTGGAAAGAGTTTCACCTCGAGTAATCTCCAGGTTCACCATCGATCACACACAGGAGAGAAACCATATAAATGTGCAGAATGTGGAAAGAGTTTCAGAGCTTCAGGATCTCTCAGAATACACCATCGATCACACACTGGAGAGAGACCATATAAATGTGCTGAGTGTGGAAAGAGATTTTTATCCTCGAGTAAACTCCAGGGACATCATCGATCACACACAGGAGAGAGACCATATAAATGTGCAGAATGTGGAAAGAGTTTCAGAGCTTCAGGATCGCTCAAAATACACCATCGATCACACACTGGAGAGAGACCGTATAAATGTGCTGAGTGTGGAAAGAGTTTCATTGCTTCCGGATCTCTCAAAATACACCATCGATCACACACTGGAGAGAGACCATATAAATGTGCTGAGTGTGGAAAGAGTTTTTTAACCTCGAGTAATCTCCAAGGACATCATCGATCACACACAGGAGAGAGGCCACACAAATGTGTTCAATGTGGAAAGCGTTTCACAACGTTGCGTTATCTCCAGAGACACCGACAGTCACACACAGGAGAGAAACCGTATAAATGTGCAGATGTGGAAAGCATTTCACAACGTCAGTTATCTCCAGAGACACCGACAATCACACACAGGAGAGAAACCTTATAAATGTGTTCAATGTGGAAAGCGTTTCACAACGTCAGGGAATCTCCAGACACACCAGCGATCACACACAGGAGAGAAACCGTATAAATGTGCAGAATGTGGAAAGTGTTTCACAAGGGCAGACAGTCTCCAGAGACACCAGCGATCACACACCGGGAAAAGGCCAACAAATGTGTTGAATGTGGAAAGAGTTTCACAAAGTCAGGAGACCTCCAGGGACACCGACAATCACACACGGGAGAGAAACCGTAAAGATGTGTTGAATGTGGAAAGAGTTTTAAAAGGCCAAGTTATCTCCAGAGACACCAGCGATCATACAGCGGAAACAGACCATATAACTCTACTGAATGTGAAAATAATTTTTCAAGGAAATAGCACCTCCAAACTCACCAGCAGATACACACAGGAGAGACTGTACAATTATGCCGAATGTGGGAATAATTTTGCGGTGTCGTATCAGAAAAAAAAAAGTTCTTTACCAGCGGAAAGCTTTCCAGGAGTCGATACAGTTCAAAGTACGTACGAGAAGCTGCTTTGACAAATGCATAGAATAACAATAATAGTTTGATGTATAACAGGACAGATATCTGTTTGATCCAACACCATTGACTCAGTTAAGACACCAGTGCGATAGTCTGTCCCCTTCTCTCCTGAACATGTGCTGAGGAACCAGCATTTCCTGAAGGTCCTCACAAACTGTTAGAGAGACCATACGAATGTGCTGAATGTGGAAAGAGCCCATGTCCGGCTATCACTGAGGTGTGTGGCTGCGGGAGAGAATAACAGAATGGCGCGGTGAGATATGAGCCCTCTGAAACCAGCTGTGGCTTCCAGTATCGGAGCTCACATCACTAAAGAATATATATTTGGTCAAAAGCACCTCGTCCCCTGGTTTGTTACCAGCAGAATGGGGAGTGCTTATAGTTTTTTTTTACCAACCAGTTTTTTTTTTCGCTGTTTATGTTAATCAAAATATTTCCTTTTGAATTGCTGTGCTGGTGGGAGTGGTGGGGGTTGTGTTTGTGTGTGTGAGTGTCTATAATGTGTGTGTCTGTGGGCTGTGTGTGTGTGCGGAGGGGATTTGTATGTGGGGTGGTGGCTGAATGTGTGAGGAGGGCATCTGTGTGTGCGCGCGTGTTGGGGGTTGGGGGATGGGGGTAAGGGGGATGGGTGGGAGGGGATGTTGGTGGTGGAGTTGAGGATTGTGGGACAGGGATATTAATCAGTGTATATATCACTCCTTTACCATACGGCTGAGGCACTGTCGACGTTTACAGTAATGTTACAATGAACTATGACTAATATTAAAGCCATCGGCACGGAATCAGTTGCCGTTTTCCTTCATTTTTATTCTCTCATTTTCTCATGTGAGGGACGTAAAGATAACCTTCGTCCCCAAACACAGATGAATGTGAGGTGACTTTATAGCGATATATAAAACAGGACAGACGGGTTATTGCCCAACAGTATGTTCAGATAGGCCAAGGGAGCGGGACAAGAGATGGATCGAGATGTGAAGAGCAGAGGGAGCTTTACTCTGTATCGGGAGGAGCGGGGTAGGGGGGGGGGGGAGTGGGGCATAAGCAATATGTTTGTGTATTGTTTTCAAAAACATAACAACTTTGACACCGAACCCTTTTCACGTCAGGGGGAGGTCTGGAGGCGATCAGCACTGCCAGCTGGACACCCGAGCGGGGGGTGGGAGCCGAGTGAGGCGGCGAGGGGGAAGATAACTGGAAATACAGTCAGAGAGATAGGTCTTGATGTGCTTTGAAAGAGTGGAGGGAGGGGGCGAGTCAAACGGACACTGGGAATGGAGCTCCGGGCAATGGGAGCAAAATGGTGCTGTTGGGGCAGATGGGGTGAGGGTGACACGAAGGAGCTGTGTTTCCTGCGCGAAGGGAATGACCGGTTATGGAGGTCGCGCGGGTAAGTTGGGAGGAGGGAAATGATGGGCTTAGAGGAGTCTCTCACTGGGGAAAGTGGGAGTTTTCTGTGAGGAAACTGCACGACATGTTTCACGGCATCTGACCTCGCGCCCACCCCCCCGCGGCGGCCAATGGGACTCCGATAGTCTGTCCTGACAGTGAAGCAAGAAACAGTGTCCTCACTTCACCTCTCTCTCTCTGTTTCTGCTCTCTCTCTTTCTCTTTATTCCTCCTTCACTCCCCCTCTCCCTCCTGCTCTCTCGCACCGTCAGACACTCTGTCCACACTCCCTTACCATCGCTCTCTCCCCGCCTCTCCCACACATTCTGTCACACTCTCTCCATCATTCTCTCCATCCTCTCACACACTCCCTCTCTCCCATCGCTCAATCCCTCTCTCTCCTCACTCTCCTCACTTAATGACACAGTGACACTCCTGTGCTCTTCCACACACTCTCTCTATCTCACACGAACCATTCGCAATCACTGGAGACTCGGCACCTCCCCGGTGACCACTCATAATCCCGGTGTAATCTTCATTTCAATGATTTTTCGCGGTTAAAAAAAATCACGCGACGTCTTAAATCTCTCTCTTTCTCTCACACTCACTCCCTCTTTCCTTCTCTCTCTCTCTCTCTCTCTGTCAATCAGCCGCTGGTGGCTCTGCTGCAATCAGGAGACAGAGTTTGGCGGGGCCGGAGGAGGATTTCAGTCTGTAGACCGAATTTGTGCATTAAAGCGAGGTCGTACACTCAATTGAACGGGGGAGAGGAGGTTTATTCGTGAGGTTTAAACCCCTTTTTGTTATATTAATATTATTTCTCCCACCACCCCTCGCCCCTCCCTCTCCGACCCCTCTTACCCCCCCCCCTCCCCTCCACCCACTTTCGACCCTCCCGCTTGCCACTCTCCCCCCCTCTCCATACCCCAGAGAGAGAGTCTCCGGGATCTATCACTGATGCTGTCGGAGAAAAGGGGTTTACACACGGATCTGTGCAGAGTCACCAGCGATCGATCTCCGGAGAGAAACCCTATCAATGTTCCCAATGTGGAAAGAGTTTCACACGTTCAGGGACACTCCACCTTCACCCGAGAATACACACAGGAGAGAAACTGCATAACCATAACGAATGCGGGAAGTGTTTTGCTCATTCAGGGGATCTCCACAAACACCAGCGGATAGACACAGGAGAGAAATCGCATGAATGTAATGAATGCGGGAAGAGTTTCACAGAGTCAGGAACACTCCTAAAACACCAGCGAATACACACAGGAGAGAAACCGTATAACTGTTGCCAATGTGGGAAGTGTTTCACATATTCAGTGACACTCCGCAGTCACCAGCGGATACCGACAAGATAGAAACCGTATAAATGAGCGGAATGTGGGAAGTGTTTTGCGAACTCCCAACACACGGAACACTGCAAATGCTGTGAAAGACTCTGTTCCTGTGGGAAACTTTTCCAGGACCCGGTGCTGTTCGCAGCCCCACATGAGAAGCTGCTGTGAGAAGTGAAGGAAATAACTAGTGTTTGATGTGCAGCGGAGATCCACTCGATCCAACACCAGCGACTCACAGTGAATACACCAGTGCGACACCTTTTCCCCTTCTCTCCTGACCATGTGTTGGGGAACTGCCATCTCCTGCCGGACCTCACACACGCGTGGCTGTTGTGCACATGTCAGGCTGTCACCACAGCGTGTGGCCGCTGGAGAGTATAACAGAATGGCGCGGTGAGAAATGAGAGCCCGTGTGTCCCCACTGACACCAGTCATGGCCTCCACTGTCGGCGCTCACATCACTTCACAGTGTATTACATATTACAGTGTATTATAGGTCTGAAGGCACCTTCTCTCCCCGGTTATTACCATCAGAATCAGATATGTTTAGTGGTTTAATTCCAGCGGAATAGGGGCTGTTTGTAATTTAAAAGATAAGTTCATGAGCAGCGGATCAATATGTTGTTGTTGTTGTTCGCTGTGAAGCCGACCATTTTACACTCTATACTGTTCTGCTGTTGGGGTCAGTTATTTAACCCATTTGAATGCGGGTTGGGTGGGGATCTGATTCAGACTGACTGGGCTGAGCGGCTTCATACACACACAAACCCTCCATGTATGCGCCCCCACACACAGGACACAATGCACCCGCGCTCCCACACACAGGACTACCCACCCACACAAACACACGGTCGCCCAAACCACGACACAGTCGCGCCCATCACACACACACAGAAGGCTCACACACAAACCCCCTCACCTCACACACACACTGCGCCCCCCCCCCACCCCCACACACACATCCCACTCCACACACACACAGTCCCCTCACCACACACAACCCCCTCCCAAAACACACACACACACAGGTAACCTACCCAAAAGTACACTTTCACCACAGACAGCGCCCCACCACACACATACAACCCCCCTGACCACACCGACAGCTCCCCTCCCCAATACAGCCGCCACCCCCACATAAACAGCCCCCTGCCCACACACACAGCCACCCCTCCATACACATACAGGGCCCCTCCCCACACACAGAGCCACCATTCCCACACACACAGCCCCCCCCCCACACACACAGCCCTCCCCACACACACAGTCCCCCTTCCCACACATACAGCCCCCTCCCCTCACATACAGTCCCACCTCCCCACACAAACAGCCCCTACTTTCCACACATACAGCCCACCTCCCCACACATATAGCCACCCCTCCCCACACATACAGCCCCCCTCCCCACACATACAGCCCCCCTCCCCAGACATACAGCCCCCCCTCCCCACACATACAGCCCCGCTCCCCCATACAGCCCCATCCCCAAACATACAGTCCCACCTCCCCAGACATTCAGCCCCCTCCCCCCCACACACAGCCTCCTCCCCACACACACAGTCCCCCCTTGCCACATATACAGCCCCCCTCCCCACACATACGGCCCCCCTCCCCACACATACTGCCCCCCGCTCCCCAGACATACAGCCCCCCTCCCAACTCATACAGCCCCCCCTCCCCAGACATACAGCCCCCCCTCCCCACACCTACAGCCCACCTCCTCAAACATACAGCCACCCTCCCCACACCTACAGCTCCCCTCCCCCATACAGCCCCCTCACCACACACACAGCCCTCCTCCCCACACATACAGCCCCCCCTCCCCACACAAACAGTCCCCCTCCCCACACGTACAGCCCCACTCCCCACACATACAGTTTCCCTCCACGCACACACAGCCCTCCTTCGCACACACACAGCCCACCCCCTCCCCACACATAGAGACCCCCTCCCCACACATACAAAACCTCCCCCACTCACATCAGGAGATTGTAGCAGGCTCAGCGGCTGATTGGCAGAGAGAGAGAGAGAGCGAGGAAGAGGGAGTGAGTGTGAGAGAGAGGGAGAAAGTGAGTGTGAGAGAGTGGGAAAGGGTTAATGCAAAAAGCGGTCGATACGTTTGAGATTAATGCAGAATTGGGAATATTTTGCACCGATGCACTTTAAACACCGGGGACCCGGGGACTTCTAAACCCGTTTCCCGTGTTGTTACCCGGATAGCGGGTGATTATCGACACCCAAAGTCGACGCCAAAAAACACATCGATACCG